TCATCAGTTTATTTTGTTCATTAGATTCCACACATGCGTGAGATCATGTGATACTTGCCTTTCTCTGACTGGCTTGTTTCACTTAGCATAATACTCTCCAGGTCCCTCCATGCTGTCTCAAGGGTAAGAGAAACTCCATTTTCACAGCTGCATTGTATTCCATTATGTAAATGTACCACCGCTTTTTTATCCACTCATCTACTGATGGGCACTTGGGCTGTTTCCAGATCTCAGCTATTATAAATAGTGCTGCATATATTCTTTCTGGCTGATGTTTCAAGATTCTTAGGATAGATTCCTGAGAGTGGGGATCACTGGATCAAATGTCAGTTCCATTTTTTATTTTTTGAGGAAATTTTATACTGTTTTTCGTAGTGGCTGCACCAGCTTGCATTCCCACCAGCAGTGTATTAGGGTTCCCTTTTCTCCACATCCTTGTCATTTGTTGATTTGTTGATGGTAGCCATTCTGGTGGGTATGAGATGTTTGATACCTCATTATTGTTTAAATTTAATCTCTCTGCTGATTAATGACTTTGGGCATTTTTTATATGTCTTTTGGCCATCTGTATGTCCTGTTTGGAGAAGTGTCTATAGAGGTCCTTTGCCCATTTTTTAATTGGATTGTTTGACTTCCTTTTGTCAAGTTGTATGAGTTCTTTATATATTTTGGAAATTAACCATGTATCAGATGATTGACAAATACATTACCACACAGTGGGCTCCCTTTTCATTTTGTTGATGGTTTCTTTTGCATCTCTGTGATGTATATATCAGGTTCACCTGTCCAGTCTTCTGCAGGGGTGGGGGAGGAAGGTTACTAGCCTCTAAGGCAGCCGTGGGCAAACTACGGCCCGCGGGCCGGATCCAGCCCGTTTGAAATGAATAAAACTAAAAAAAAAAAAAGACCGTACCCTTTTATGTAATGATGTTTACTTTGAATTTATATTAGTTCACACAAACACTCCATCCATGCTTTTGTTCCGGCCCTCCGGTCCAGTTTAAGAACCCATTGTGGCCCTCGAGTCAAAAAGTTTGCCCACCCCTGCTCTAAGGACTGCACAAGATAGCTGAAGTTCTAACAACTTCTAAAATAGATTTAAGCTTCCTCCTGTTTTCAATACTCCCTTCTCTCTCACTTCCAAAACTAATTTGTGGTACCAGTTTGGAGACTTCTGAGTTGGGTGGTAAAATTATTTTGACTCTTGGCTTTTTTCCACCTTTGTCTTAGAAGATCAGCATTTTGGGCTTTGTTAAATTAATTTCTGGCCCTGGTTCGGTGGTTCAGTTAGTTGGAGCATCATCCTGTACACCAAAAGCTTATGGGTTCAATTCCCATTCCGGGCACATACCTAGGTTGCAGGTTCGATCTAGTTGGGGCACTTAGGGAGGCAACTGATCGATGTTTCTCTCTCTCTCTTCCTCTCTCTCTAAAATCAATAAACATTTTTTTGGGTGAGGATAAAAAAAATCAGTTTCTGCTTTCTAGATTTTTATTGCTAGTATCTTCTCTTTATCTCTTTTACATTGTAGGTTTCTTTTTTAGCCCCTTTTGCTGTATAAAAATAAAATTTTTGTTCAAAAGGACAGGACCCTGTAAATCTACCCTTTTCAACAAAAATTACATTTTAATAGTCTTTCTTGTCAATAAATATACTTCTATAGCAACATTTTAATTGTTTCATAGGAATCTCATTTTAGAGATCTAACTTATCTCCTGTTTTAAACAGGTTGTTTTAAGCAATATTGCAAAGAATTTTCTCATAGCTGAATCTTATATCATTCTTTAATTTAAATTTTAATTGTGACTCCTTTAAAATCTCATAGCTGAATCTTATATCATTCTTTAATTTAAATAAATTTTAATTGTGACTTCTTTAAAGTGTTTCTTACAAATCAACATCTTATTTCCAATAGTATGAGGATATTTCCTTTCTAATATAGACCATCCTATGTAAACATTTCATTTAATAACTTTTCTCACCAAATGGTTAATTCAGTGTATGTTTAGTTTATTCTACTTACAGGCTATGCCTGGAACAGGATAGGTACCCATTACATATTTTAAGTAGGCATATTCACAATAAATGAAATTTTACTATTTTGTTTATAACTTCGAAGACATGGGGTCTGGTATAAACTGAAAATATCTCATTTGCATCACTTTGTATTACTTTGAGGTAATTCAGGCCATAACATTAGTAGTATTGAGAACCAGAATTCAATTAATTAGCTTAATATACAGAAAATCAGGAAAAATCACCACAGATCTTTTTCTAAATTTCTCATTCTCTGCTATACCAATGGCTGAAGGCATCTATTTGCAGTTTTTAAAAATAACACACGCACACTGTTCACTTCTATTTTGTATATTGCACTTAGGCCTAGAATTTTATTTCTTTAGCCTTACAATCTGTTAGATAATATTTTTGTTGAAATTTGATTTAATTAAAGGCCAGCTGCATGTGCTGAGAGAGATTTAAAATCAAACATTGCTCAGGGTGACAATTTGTGCAGTGATATTGCATGTTGAAAGCTTTTACCCCAATGTCTAGAAACATACAATATTGATTAATGCGTGCGTCCTTCTTTTACCCCAATGTCTAGAAACATAAAATATTGATTAATGCGTGCGTCCTTCTCAGACATAATTTCTTTCCAGAAGCAGTGGTAGTGAAGAAGGAAAATAAGGAAACTATGTTACATAATGAAACATTGTCTCACTATTTAAAATGTGAAAAAAATTGTTTTATATAATATCAACTAACATTTATTAAGTATTACTATGTAACATATATATTCTAAACTCTTGACATGAGGTAGGTGCTTGTAAGTATCTTCGTCTTAAAGGTAAGGAAATGAGACACAATGAGATTATTTATAAAGTCGTCCGAGGTCAACTAACTGATACATCGCAAAGCCTAATTTTGACCCCAGAATATCTGACTGTAGAGATCATGTCAACTGGAGTGTCTTCCATCAAAATGTAGACTCATTGATACTAATATGAGTAGCATTTGCATGAGTAACTTTTGCATAAACTGATGGGGAAGATGTATCTTTTGAAATGTATCTTAATGATAAGTTTTCATCTTCCTACCCAGTTTTTCAGGTTAAATGTTTCAAATAATTTGTTTAAAAAATACATATTATACCTAAAATACAGACTCCTAAGTAAAGAGACTGCTGGAAAGAGAGTTTTAGGGGCCAAATAACCTAGGTTTAAATGCTGGCTTTGTGATTTTTTTTTTTAGATTTAAAGCTATAGGACATGTATTTTGTATTTAAATCTAGAATAGCCAGTATTTATGTTTTTTATAAACTGTGCAATACGGTTACGCGATCACAGTGACTCTGTAGCCCCCGAGCGTCCCGGAGGGAGCCCACGTCGTAGAAGCTGGCGTGTTCATATTATGTGATAAATGTCTAACGATGCTGCTGCCAAAATGTAGTGCCGGGGCGCGCAGGCCTGGGCGGCTGTGCCACGGAGGCTCCTGTGGGGACACCGTTGGCCGTCACTGGTGGCGTCGGCGCCCCAAGCCTCCGAAGCGGCAAGTCCGCCTTCGTTTTAAGAGGAGCAACTTCAGCTTCAAAGATCCTTTTAAGCTTCCAAATGGATCGTTTAAACTATTTCTTTGCCTAAGAGCTAAACTAGAGGCTCAGACGTTAGCTTGTGAAGTTAATAGACTTCCTTAAAGGGGTCAATGCATCCCGCTGGCCAATCGATGTCGGCTCCTGGCGAATGTTGGTGTCGCGCTATAAAACACGCCATCGATGGTCCCTAGATTATCTAGTCCCAACAGTAGGTGGTTTTTCCCTTCATCTGAACCTACGTGGTACGGAAGCTGCGAGGTGTTGCCATACAGAGAGATGAAGGGGCTCGTCCCGTTAGAGCTCCGCGCTGAACACTGACACGTGGCTCTTGCGAAAGAGCCTTGTTTTGGTTTTCTTTCTTTGTCACGTGGATTCTCCTGCGGGTGGATGGAGAGTGTGAGAGGAGACTGTCAGATCTGTTGCTGAGTTTTGCACCTGGATCTCATTTTACAAGAGACTCTT